TGATTTAAGGTTTTGAAAACCGTTGATGGGTCTACTTAAACAACTCCATTTCCTGTACTTTCTCCTCCTCTCACTTTAAGCGAATAGCAGCAGAATACTATTACTATGCCAGCTTTTCTCAACTTTTTAAAACGAAATGCGGGTTCTGGGTAGGCACAACTAAGCACGGAGTTAATTAAATCTGATTTTTCCCTCCTCTGAGTACCAAAAATATTCTGAAGCGTTCTTCTTTATATGGTTTGAAAACCTTTTAGAAGATAACGACATTTCAATATCACATGAAATCTTCCACAAAGAAGATCATGAAGGCAAAGTGCCGTTGAGCGAATTCTCTTCTCCTGCCCACTCCCTTTGTATGAAAATGGGGACACATCATGAAAATTGTGGAAGCAGAGCTGTACTCAAGAAAATTTTTCTTTGTTATGAGAGGAGATGTAAAGAACATTGCATATACAGAGCATGTTATAAAAACCAAATTTTCTTTAGGAACTTCTTAATCATACCTTGGGGAAGTATGGGAAAATTTACTGCTCATTTTCGTAAAGTGCAACCGCGATAAAACTAAAGAAATGATGAACAATCCTCGCTTAATAGGTTTTCCCGCTAAACAAAAAGTGTAAAGGAAGAAAGGTGTCCAAATTTTGAATGGTGAAAGGCCTGTTGAAATTCAATCCTCAACCAAATACTGCTTAGTTTACGATGCCGGAGCGAGAAGTTCGTTGCGAAAATACATGAGAACCGCAGCAGATTTGTCCTTAGAAACCATTTTCGTGGTTAGAGTTTAACAACGACTCGCGCTTAATTTGAGTAAGTGCAGCTGGTCCTTTAAAAATAGTCAAGTTGAAAAACGTGCGATACTTAGGCTGATGATTTATCACTTTATTATTTATAATTATATAGTCATATGCATACCATGTGATAGAGTTTTAATTACTAGGCGGCTTTATATCATGCAGAGCTCTATCTTCTGATTGCTATCATCTGAGCAAAGAACGTTTTCTGAGTTACAAGAGGTCAAATTATGGAGAACAAGGAAAGAGGGGAAGCTTTGGAGATAAATAGGAAGAAGAGAAATTAAATGAC